TTCATTCACTATATTCCCTATTAATGTGTGTATGTTTTAAATTGTCCACAGTAATACATTTTTAAAAATAAAAGAAAATAGAAAAAAAAAGTAACTAGAGATTGTAAGATTGCAATGTGAACTGTTAAAAAAAATTAGTACCATTTTCAACCGTTAATCTGTGTGGATGAAAATTTCCTTGATGATCTGCAACAAAACCAAAATACAAAATCACAATACAAAAATAAACTGGAGGCTGAGGCATATAGAGATTATCATTTTTATTCATAATCATTCATTTCAATGTTATGCTCCTTATAATAGCTTCATGGTTCAGACTGACTTTATAATAAGAGTATGCTATAAATTCAAATGTAAAATAGCTTTATTTTGAATAATAAAACATTTATTTTGAATAACAAAACATTTATCTGAAGTTCTCAGTAAGATATGTGGAGGTGGAGAGACAGTCTAAGACCTTTAAAAAGGTTTGAAAATGTTCTGCCCTAGACTATTACTTTCACCTGTTTCAGTTTTGCTTTGAACAAAAAATGTTACAATTTACAACTCAAAGTGAAGAGGTTGCTATTAAGTATCAAGAAAGATGTTACATATAGTTAAGAGAATATGATAATTTTGCAAAGAATAAATTAGAGTCTGGATGTGGAAGAATACTTGGTCTAGAAGACCTCTTTTAAAAAATGGATTGCAGTTGGGCGCAGTGGCTCACACCTGTAATCCCAGCACTTTGGGAGGCCAAGGCGGGAAGATCACTTGAAGTCAGGAGTTCGAGACTGGCCTGGCCAACATGGTGAAGTGCCATCTCTACTAAAAATACAAAAATTAACCAGGTGTGGTAGCATGCACCTGTAATCCCATCTACTTGGGAGGCTGAGGCACAAGAATCGCTTGAACCCAGGAGGCAGAGGTTGCAGTGAGCCAAAATCGCACCACTGCACTTCAGCCTGGGCAACAAAGCAAGACTCCATGTACATAGATAGATAGATAGATAGATAGATAGATAGATAGATAGATAGACAGACAGACAGACAGACAGATAGACAGTGATTGCAAAAGTACTTGCAAAGGAGACCAGGAATTTCCTCAGATAATGGCCCAGAGCTTTTCCATAAAGCATGGAAGAGATACCTAAGCCTGAAAAAGATTGCAATACCTGTCATTCCTTCATTCAAGAAATATTTATGAGATGCCTACCTTGTGTCAGACACTATACTAAGCACTGGGAATACAGAGAAAAATCCCTGCCCTTATAGATTACATTTCTAGTAGAGGGAAGATAAGAATAAGCAAAATAGTAAATTATATAGCATTTCTGAAGATAAGTGTTATGGATAAAAGTAAACCAGGGCGGAGGATAGACAGTATTAGAGAGAGGTTTCCATTTTTAAAAGGATGGTCAGGGAAAGCCTGAGGAAGTACTCAAGTAGACTGAAAGGGGCTAAAAAAGCAGTTTCATCATCTCAGAAAAGAAGATTCTAAGCGGAAAGAGTAGCAGTGCCAATGATATGGTGAAAGCAGGCCTCCGATGTCTGAAGAACAGCAAAGAGGCTAATTTGAGCAGATTAAGCGAGAGACGGAGAGAGTGGCTGTAAATGGAGTTGGAGAGGCAACAAATGGCAAGCCTCACAGGACAATCCCAAGACTGCCTTTTACTTTGGGTGGTAACGGGAAGCCACGGGAGAGTTTGGGGCAGAGAAGAGATCTAACTCATGTTTTTATAAAATCACTCTGGCTGCTGTTCTGACAATACTGCAAGGGGAAAGAAAGAAGCAATCCGTTAGAAGGCCAGGACAGATTGCAAAAAATGGCCTTCGGTTGCTCCCAGTCTCTGTATACAAAGCGCTTTACAAAGTGACTTTGCTGCTCCCCTCGGAAAAAAAGTAGACTAATTTTCTATCCCCTTCATCTGGCTTGACCTGGCGACCTGCTCACACCAACAGCAGGGAAAGTGAAGCTGTAGAAGTTCTAAGTCCAAGCCTCAAAAGGCCACATAGTTTCCTCTTGTTATCTTGCTTCCACTAGACCACCATGTAAAGAAACATAAACATGAGATAGTTTACTGAACCATGTAGAGCAGAGACAAGCCATCTCAGGTGAGGCCTCCAAACCTACCAGTCCCCATCACTACATGAGTGAGCATGGGCAAGACCAGCAAAAGAGCTGCCCCCCATCTACTCCAAGCCCAACCTAAGCTGCCAACCACAGAATCACAAACTAATAAATAACTGTTGGTTTAAGCCACAAAATTTTGGGGGTTGGTAACAATAGATAACTAATACAGAGGCTACTGCAAGATCCGGGACATAAACAATGGGGGCTTAGACTAGGGTGACAGCAGTGGGTAGTGACAAGTACATGGATTCTAAATACATCGTGAAGACATAGCCAACACGCTTTCCAAAGTAACAGTATATATATAGATTATGAGAGAAAGAAGAGCCAAGGATGATACTCAGGTTTTTAGCCTATGTCATGAAAAGGATGGAGTTTCTATTAACTGAAAGAGGGAAGATTATAGGTAAAAAAGGAAAATCAGTTTAGTTTGAAATATATATTAGTCATCCAAACAGAAAATGCTGAGTAGGCACTGGATATACAGAGGCAGGAGTTCAAGGGAAGGCCAGACTGAAAATATAAATTTGAAAGCTAGTAGGGTATTACTAGTATTTAAAGCTAATATTTAGGCCAGGCGCCATGGCTCACACCTGTAATCCCAGTATTTTGGGAGGCCAAGGCGGGTGGATCATTTTTCAAGACCAGCCTGGCCAACCTCTCTACTAAAAATACAAAAATTAGCCTGGTGTGGTGGGGCGCACCTGTGGTCCCAGCTACTCAAGAGGCTGAAGCAGAAGAATCGCTTGAACCCAGGAGGCGAAGGTTGCAGTGAGCCGAGATCGTGCTACTGTACTCCAGTCTGGCTGACAGAGGGAGACTCCATCTCAAAAAATAAATTGGCCAGGCGCAGTGGCTCACGCCCATAACCCCAGCACTTTGGGAGGCCGAGGCAGGCGAATCACGAGGTCAGGAGATCGAGACCATCCTGGCTTAACACAGTGAAATCCCATCTCTACTAAAAATACAAAAAATTAGCCAGGCATGGTGGCGGGCGCCTGTAGTCCCAGCTGCTCAGGAGGCTGAGGCAGGAGAATGGCGTGAACCCGGGAGGCGGAGCTTGCAGAGATCAGGCCACTGCACTCGAGCTCAGGGGACAGAGTGAAACTCCATCTAAAAAAATTAAATAAATAAAATAAATAAATAAATAAATAATAAAGCTAATATTTAAAGGCTGAATGATATGATCCAGAAGTATAAGGTCTAATGACTGAGCCCTGAAGCACTTCAGTGTTAACAGCACTCTTATCAGGGAGATAAGGAAAAACCAGTACAGGATTCTAAAAAGGGACAATAGGTAGGAGGAAAACCAGGAATTGTGGCATTTTTGCTAATAAAGGAAAAAAGTGTTTTAAGAAGCAGAGAGTGGGCTGGCACAGTGGCTCACGCCTGTAATCCCAGCACTTTGGGAGGCCGAGGCAGGTGGATCACTTGAGGTCAGGAGTCCGAGACCAGTCTGGCCAACAAGGTGAAACTCCATCTCTACTAAAAATACAAAAATTAGCCGGGTGTGGTGGCACATGCCTGTAATCCCAGCTACTCAGGAGGCTAAGGCAGGTGAATCACTTGAACCCAGGAGAAGAAGGTTGCAGTGAGCCAAGGTCAGTGCACTCTAGCCACTGCCACTGCACTCCAGCCTGGGCAACAGAGTGAGACTCTGTCTCAAAAATAAAAATAAAGAAGCAGAGAGTGACTAGCTGTCTCAAAACAAACAAACAAACAAACAAACAAAAAAACAAACAAAAAAACGCTGACAGATCAACTGAGAGGTAGAAACTTGGAAGAGACCTTTAGATTTGGGAAAAAGAAAGGGCGAGGCATAGTGCCTCCACCTGTAATCCCAGCACTCTGCGCTGAGGCTGGAGGACTGCTTGAGGTCAGAAGTTCAAAACCAGCCTGAGCAACATGGTAAGACCCCACCTCTTCAAAAAGTAGAAAAATTAGCCAGGTATGGTGGCGCATATCCACAGTTCTAGCTACTCAGGAGGCAAGGCAAAAGTACCACTTGAGCCCAGGAGTTGAAGGATGTGGTTAGCTATGATCACACCACTGCACTTCAGCATGGGCAACAAAGCAAGACTCTGTCACTAGATGAAAAATAAAGTCACTTTTAGAAAAGTGACTTCTCAGAAAAGTTACTTTTAGAAGAGTAATTTTTTGATAGAGGTGAGGGAGAAAACCGGATTAAAGTGAGTTTAAGAAAGAATAGAAGGAAAGTAACTGGACATGAGTATAGTTATACCATAAGGGGTAACAAATAAATTGTGCAGTGGTTTAAGTAGGAATGGGGTCAAAAGCTATTATTTTAACATGGAAAAATACCAGCATACTTGCATTACTGAAGGGAATAATCCAGTAATGAGGGAAAATGCTATGTTCAGAGACAGAGATGCTGGAGACAAATCCTTGGAAAGGTAAAAGGAATGAGACCTAGTGCATGAGTGAGGAGCTGTTCTTAGAAACAGACTGTAGATGAGAAAATAACAGATGGCAATCTTAGGTAAATGCAGGTATGCCCACCTCCCACATTCATGGTAATTTTAATTCACATTAAGGCGTTTTCTACACTCTGGGCCCAGAATTGACCTAAAAATACTCAACATAACCTTCTAATCCTACCAATAGATAAGAATTGGCACACATGATGAAATGTATTTACAAAAGTATTTTGGGAGTTCAGAGGTCAGGAAAAGGTACATAAAAGCAAATAGGCCACACTGTCCATCCTTTCTCCGACAGATAACACAAATATTCACTGGAGACATATATGTTATTTTTAAATTTAGAAACAGTACTATGCCAACTGTCCTACTCTAACAGAAACTATAATGACTTGATGGATAAATGTTAACAACAGAAAGCTTCATCAAAATTTAAATTCCGGGAAACTGCCCCTTCTCGGGGTCATGATGGGCAGCAAGATGGCGTCTGCCAGTAGGGTCGTTCAGGTAGTGAAACCACACACTCCATTAATAAGGTTTCCTGACAGAAGAGACAATCGTAAACCCAATGTATCCGAAGCTTTGAGATCAGCAGGGCTACCATCTCACTCTTCTATAATTTCACAACATTCTAAGGGAAGTAAATCACCAGATTTGCTGATGTATCAGGATCCACCAGACACTGCAGAAATAATAAAAACATTACCTCAGAAATACAGAAGGAAACTTGTGTCTCAAGAAGAAATTGAATTTATCCAACGTGGAGGTCCTGAATAACCATGGTGGCTGCTGTTTGTCATCAGACAATAGAATTGTCTTTACAATAAAGGACTTCCAAAATGACAGATGAGAAACTGTATACTAAACACCTTTAATAAATACTATGAAAAAATGAAATATAGAAAATTTAGATGGACACTTGTATTTCCTAATTTATGTATCTTGGTCAGCTTCTCCACAAGCTTACCTAATTATTTATACACTTTATACTTATTAAAGTATACATTTTTAAATAGCCTATTAATTTAATCTTGATTATCAAACATTACCAGTGCTGAACTATTAAAAGCACATAATGTGTAGTAAACTATCATAGGATTCTTATAATTTCACTTTTCTTTCTGTTTAGACATGGAAAAATTTATCAGTCAGAATTGCTGTTTTAGGTATATGATTTTCCTGAAATTGGGTGAGGATCAGTGAAATAATGACTCTATTACTTGTTCTTAATTCTCCGTTCTCTAATGTTTTTTCATTCACAAGTTTACTGGAGTATAACTGGCTTAATAAGTATATCCTACTTTGAATGATAAAAATATAGTCAAGCTAAAATAGGTGACTATACTATTAAGATGGAGGCGATCATACAAAAGGTTCCAAAGAAAGTCAAAGAGCATAAAACGGAAAATAATTAAGAGACCAAAATGAATATAGCATAGGAATAAAGATTTCACTAGAAATTGCAATTTATTATGTTTCGGAGATTGTAAGGAAGTCTTGTTCTTTGGTTTATTTTACTGTTTTATGATCTTGTATGCAAATCCTGATAACCATTAACTTTCTCAAACTTAATGTCTCAAAGCCTCATAAAATCAACATAAATATGTACTTACTAAGCAGTTTATGAAACTTTAATGGGGCCCCTCCTGTGCCAAGGGTATGTATATTATGAAGCAAAGCCTCACAAAGCTAAATAAATTCTCTTCCATACCTTTTTAAAAAAAAAAGTTAAAGTCCAAACTACAAAAAGCTATCCATATGCTTCAGAAAAGTGCTGTCACCCTTACACCCAAATCTAAGCTCTTTCTAACCTGTCTTCTCCTCTAAATAATCTTTCTTCGCTCTCTCACTCCTTCCCAAGCTTTTATACTGATACCATAGTCAATAAGCTTTCTTATATCCTCAGCCTCTTCACTAGATGCTCCCTGTACCTCCTAGGCCTAATACAAACTAAACTCCCCTTCTTTGGTGGCCCCCATCAGTAAAGGCTAATCATCCCTCCAAGCCCAAGGCCCAGAAGAATGTTTCCAGACCACTCGCCCCATCCCACCCCCACCCTCTGTGCCTTTGAGGGTGTAACATCTAAGTATCTTCACCTCTCACATATACTGATCCATATGCAATCTAAACCTCAGAAATTAGGATCACATTCTACCCTTTCTCCCTGGGTACCACAGTCATCTATAGTCATCTGGGTGAGCAATTCATCCAACGCACCACCAGTCTCATTGTTCCTGAACACCTCCATTTCTACCATCTATATCCACAGCCAAACCCTACATGCCATCTATACCCTAAAAATCTTAAATTCCAATATTCTACTCTGACCAGAATATTTCCATCATTTTCATTATCTCCCTTTTAGCTATAAACACTTGCATATTTACTTCATCCAGACTTTTAATCATTTTAATCAATTATGTTATCTCAATCTTTCAGCTCCTCCTGGCTCTATCATCATCCCTATCCAGTCTAAACTTCACATTCCATCACTCTGACCGTTCTTTCAACAATATTTTCAACTCATTTGCATTCTCACCATATGCACATAACAAAATCCAAATACTGTATCAATCCAACTACTTATCATCTCTGGTTCTAGTGAATTTTGCTGCCAAAAGTCACAGAATCATATGAACTAGATTATTACAAATTAATGATCCTGGCCTATCTGGGAAACCTTCCAAAAACTGTAGTTGGCTCTTTCTCCTATTCCCAATGGCATCTGACCAGTCTCTTCTTGTTGAATTCTCTCCCTCCTTATCTTCTAGAAGTCCAGTGTCATTGGGCTGTTCCTTCTGTCTTTTTCACTGAGTCATCTTACAGAGCAGTGTTTCCCAGGGTTTCCCTTCTGTTTTATTCTTTCTTATTCTATAAACTCTCTCTTAAGTATCATCCATTCTCACACTGTTTTAACCACCTATAGGTTGATAGCATCCTAATCTCTATCTCCAGCCTAAAATCCTCTCTTTATCTCCAGACCAAAGCTGCCAAATGCCCACTGAACAGCACCAATTGTGTGACCCAAACCCATGTCCAAGGCTACTGATCTTATTCTCCCCATATATCTGATATTCCTAATGTGATTCCTATCTTGGGAAGTCATAAACCTAGGAGGTATCCTTGACTCCATCACTTCTTCATCCCCTACATCCATCTGGCCACTAACTCAATCACCTTAATATAGCTGGAATTCATCCTGTTCTCTCAAGCACCACTGAATTTTCGGAGTTCTGTCATATTTAATGGAAATGTTTGCCTTACTCCACTACAATTCATTCCTCACATTGCCTCACGAAACTGATCTTAACTTTCTTCCACTTAAAATCTATTACTCATGGATCACCACAGCCTCCAGAATAAAGCTAAAAATGGCTAACATGGTGTGGAAGAGAGCTTTCATTACTTACTCCTTGTTTACTTTTTAAAGTTCATCTCTCTATTCTCTCTCTTAACACATTAGGGGTCTATGTTCTGTCTCTAACCTATCTGTTTGTCCTCACTGCTTTCTTGTGCCTGGAATGTCTTATTCTCTAATATCACCAACTAATTCCTACTCACTTTCAAACTTTAACTGAGATGAAAATTCCTCCATAAAGCCTTCTCTGAATCTCCTCAAACCTCACACACAGTTTTCTTCTATCCCCCACTATACTATGTAAACAACTAATCATAATGTTTATCCCATTGTATTTTGGCATTATTTATGGAGTCCATGCAATACTGTAAGTTCCTTAAAGAAAATTTAAGGACCTAGTATCGAAGTAGTTGCTGTCTTTACTGAACAAAGGAATAAATAAAAAATAGAGAATACAATACCTTTAATAACTAAGAATCTTTAAAAAATCACATTTACTTAAATGTTTCAACAATTAAAAACATTTAATCATTTAATAAAAAGTATTCTCCATTCCTCTCCATGTGTATGTCCTAATAGCATATACTAAAATCAGGTTTGGTTACATAAACCAACATGCGCAATGATTGGAAAGCAAAGTAGAACTTAAGACTACATTATGAAAGCAGGTAGGCCAAATAGAAAGGCTTGTCAAGAGAGAAGGGAAAGATAAACCCTGGCAACCAAAAAAACTTCATAATAAAACTACAGTTACAACACTCATAATTACTGTATGACATTTGTTCAACATACTTATCAACCAAATTAGCAAGAACTCATCTGATCAAAAGGAGAACAGAAGATACCTTCGAAGGCATAAATCTCCAGTTTAGGAGCTTCAGTGGAAAGCTTCATCGGTCCCCAAGCAAGTGAAAAGATAAGTCTTTAAATAAATAATGGTAATAAACTGACCATCTATGCAAGTTGAATTCTCAACTTCCTTTGGCCTAAAGAAATGTTTTCCCATCATGAACAGTGGAAAGCTATACAGTATTTAAAGTCAAGGGTTTTGAAACATCTTCAAAATATATAAAACTAAAGTAACTCAGACTAATTAAATGAAAACCAATATAAACTTTTAAAATCATAAATGCAATTTTATTACTTCCAATATGACCTGAGTAGGGGAAAAAAAACAACAACAATGAGGCCAGAAGTACTTAGAGGGTTATAAAAACTATATGTCAATCCATTGTTTGAAAACAGATGGGCTCTTCCACATCACTTAAAATTTTGTTGTTTCAAATCATTTACATGGAGGAAATTCACAAATATCCCTTGTCCCTTGTCCGATTAGCTTAGCAAATCTTGTTTTATCATGTGGAAATAGTAACAAAACCTCCATCAACCTATTACTAATTGTGAATCACAGACTTATACTCATGTAAGTATAGCATACTTTATTATACATCTCTAGATCTATAGATTTCTCATCTCCTAAAGAAATACATACTACCCACTTGATCAAAATTTAAATTATCACCCTAATTTTCCTTTTGTACTTAAACCAAGTTCATTGTTATACATCAAGAAAAACTGATTAAGATCAAGTTTTGCTATAGACTAATAATCCTGACACTATTATTTCCTTAGACTTCCTCCAAATATAGTTATTATTTCTCATGGTGTTTTTTTTTTGTTTTTTTTTTTTTTTTTTTTTTTTCCGCTAGAATGTTAATGTCCTCAGCTCTTGAATTTTCCCCCTTAACTTTCTAATCTTGATCAGGTCCATTTCTAGAACTGAAAGATGTAGCACTGACATGAAGGGATCGCTTGAGGTCAGGATTTTGAGACCAGCCTGACCAACATGATGAAACCCCGTCTCTAATAAAAATACAAAAATTAGCTGGGCATGGTGGCATTCGCCTGTAATCCCAGCTACTTAGGAGGCTGAGGCAGGAGAATCACTGGAACCCGGGAGGCGGAGGTTGCAGTGAGCCGAGATCGCAGCATTGCACTCCAGCCTGGGTGACAGAGTGAGACCCTGTCTCCAAACAAAAACAAACAAACAAACAAAAAATGTAGCAAACGCAAATATTTTAAAAGTTATATTTTCTTAAATTTTCCAAACTCTTGATAGTGATATACACAATTTAATTCAACTAATCATTTGTGGACAATATCCCAAAAGTATCATGAACCTAAGAATATTATGCCTCAGACTGTTTCATAAATCATTTTAGACAGGGGTGGGGGGGTGGGGGGGAAGGCCAAACGATTTACTGGTAAGCACCATCAATCAGTCAACAAATGAAAAACTCTGGTTACACCTCCACGAAAATTTTGATTTCAAACTATTTATTGACCTGGTTATCAGGCATTAACTGGAGGCAACAATCAATTAAAATCCAGTAAATTTGGGGTTAATGAAACAAATGTTAAAATAGATACAATATTGATAAATATTAGCCACGCAATGGTAACTTCCTAACATTGATTAAGTAAGCATTAATCAAGGTAGAGGTTTTAGCTTCCACTAATCTATAAAAGCAAGGCAAAATGCTTTGAAAATTGCATTTTTATGCAATTGTTTCAGTATCATACCTTTGTATGTAACATTAAAAAGCTCGTGATTACTACATTTCAAAATTTAGATGAGTCACAGTGCTTTCTACGCAGGAATTGGATGTGAATCAAAATTGTAAACATGCACTTGCTTGGTAGTCAAAAAGTGAATGTGGACAGATACAATGTTCGTTGACACAGTAAAACATAATCATAAAATACATCCTGTGTTTTTAAAATAGTTACTTCCTAACTGCTAACACATTTCAGGAAACATACCATCTACCCCTCCTCTCTTTGAAAATCTCAAAATTATACTAATCCCATTCCCCTTCTTACAGATAGGCCACTGAAACCTAGAGCCATTACTTATACAGTTATCAGGATTACACCCTCAGAGCCACCATAGTTTAAGGGATACTAGAATCTGAAAATAACAAAAAAAAAAAAAAAAATGCAACTCAAATCTAGACAATAAAACTAGCATATAAACTGTAAGAAAACGCAGGAAATGCCGATTTTAGTATCTGGTATGAGGATGACCATCAAGGAATCCATCAAAAAAGTTTGGAAAGTATGAATGAATGACTGCATGAAATTGGCAGGATTTCATTGATTTCAAAAGCTCCAAATTCAGGAACCACACTGAGAGATCAGGACGCCACAGCTGAAACTAAAACTCATGAAGGGTAAGTGCAACACAACTGCACGTCTCCACACGTTAGCTGCTGCGAAAATTTCAAAACATATATCTAATACACGCTTTCTTCAGGTAATTGCCACAAGTGCGGACGGAGCCAGAGAACTAGGAGGCTGAAAACAGGCCCTGCTCACCCATAAGCCTTTGCATTATAAGTGGACATGATCTGAGTGAGTCACCGGGAATGAGAAGGAGAGTCACCCAGGCCAGGCAGGACGCGGCCAGAACCTCCTGCTCTGTCCCCAACTAGGGAACCGGTCGAAGGAGAGTGGGACGACTGCAACCTGCTGCAGCAGGTATGCAAGAAGCGCGCCGACCGGCTTCCGAGTCGGGATCCCACTGAGTCCCACCGCAGCCACCACAGCCAGCCCTGCCCAGGTATCTCGTAGCTCCGTAACCTCATAAGGCCTAGTTCTCCAGAAGCTGAGAGCCCCGTCAGGACTGGACGAGGGCAAAAAGCAGGTCCTGCCCCGCTCCCGGCTGCCCCTCGCCGCGACGCGGCCTTGCCGCCACATGCTCCACTGCCCCGTCTCCCAGCTCAGCCCCAGCCCCGCAGGGCCTCAGCCGCCCTCCATGCAAGCCGACCGGGCCGCAGGCGGCGCGACCCAGCGGTTCCCGAGCAAGGGGCAGCGGTGGCAGCCCGCCGCCCCGCATGGCTTACCTCCCTTCTGCCACAAGCTCAGCCCAGCGCCGGCTGCCTGACGTGGCCCGCCCCGCCGCCTCGAACACCCGGGGGCGGGGACTGCAGAAGAGAGCCAATGGGCTGCACATCGCGAGGCCCTGTTCCGCCTCCTCCGCCTGTGGCCCGCCCTCCCCGACTCGCGCGCACGCGCGTCTGAGGCCCGGGCCGCGCACTGCGGTTGGAAGGCGGCGTGGGCGGCGGACCCGAGCTCCGCAGCTGAGCTGGTGCGGGGAGGGCTGTGCGCGGGGGCTGGCTGAGGAGCAGCACCGCAGTGAGGAGTTAGCCCAAGGAAAAGCATATTAAAGGAAACTGCCTAGAGATGCCACTGCAGCGTGCCCGGGTAGTCCTGTTGGCAGCCTGCCCCTATGCAGCTTTTGGCGATGCAAAACGGCTTCTTGGTATTTGGAGATTTTGTTTCCCGGGCGAAATAAATAATACTGATAACATTAAGGATTCAGAAAATTTAAAGCAGCCGACTTGCCGCGAAGACACTTCGTTCTTCGCCTAGTACCTACGGCTTGGTGTCTTTACTTCACTTGGCCGACACAGAACACTGCAGCTCTCCACGCCACTGTGGTATATCCACTTGTTAGATAGTCCTGAGGGCGTTCTAGCCCAAGTGTTTCTGTTGATGTAATCTAGGGGGAACTGGCGCGAGTAATTATTGCTTGTTATTGCTGTTACGATTTTGCCCAATATTTACTGAATGATAAACATGTATTTTCTCCTGGGTCGGGGTGGGAGCTCCCACGTGGGAAGGCTGTGACAGACAGACAGCAGCCACGATGAAACACGCTGAAAAGAGCCAGCAGAAAAAATGAGGAGAGACTGGTATAACAGAGTGGAATTCCGGTTGTGGATGACAGAATGGAAATTATACGCAAGATGAAAGAGTTAAGGCAAATTACTCTAAAAATATCTGACTTAGTTGTTTCTAAACCCTGGGGCACCCTAAGGGGGAAAAAAAAAGTGCCTGGGTCTCCTCACTTGGTTGAAAAAGCTCTGCTGCGGGACCTTGACATTGATATTTTTCTAAGTTTCCAAAGTTATTTTAATGTGTAGACAAGAAGTTCTGTCTCTCATTTGTAGGAAGTGTTTGGTTCCCCATCACCTCAGATAAGTAATTGTGTATCACAGATCGTTATCAATGTTCCCAATAACAGACTATGCATTCACTCTCTAAGAATTTATCTAAATTAATTTTGGGGCCAGGTGGGCTGGCTCACGCCTGTAATCCCAGCACTTTGGGAGGCCAAGGCGGGCTGAGTTCGAGACCAGCCTGAGCCACATGGTGAAACCCCATCTCTACTAAAAAAAAAACATACAAAAATTAGCCCGGCGTGGGGTTGCGCGCCAGCAGTCACAGCTGCTCTACTCAGGAGGCTGAGGCAGGAGAATCGCTTGAACCCGGGAGGCGGAGGTTGCAGTGAGCCGAGGTGGCGCCACTGCACTCCAGCCTCTGATGGAGTGAGACTCCGTCTCAATCAATCATTCAATCACTCAATCAATATTGAACCTACTTCAAGGTATTCAACCTCTGTTTTCTTTTGCGTGAAAGGAGTTTTATAAGGCTTATAATTCCCTTTTTATGAACATTGATGATATTCTCTTTCAGTCTTCCAAATGCACCAGTATTTCTTTTAGGACTATTTTAATATTTTTTCTTCTATTCCTGTATTTCTTGAGGCTCATTAGTCAAAATGATAATTAAACACATAACTATGTAAACAGCGCTGTTCTAAGTATATAAATTTATTTAATCCACAGAACAACTTTATGAGGCAGTTACAGTTATTACCCACATTTTATAAATAAGGAACTTGAGGTACAGCAGGTGAAGCACCTTGACCAAGGTCATGCACCTAGCTAATGGCCAGGCCAAAACTTGAATCCAAGCACCCTGGTTCTCAATGAATAAACGTACTGCCTCTGTTGTAGAAAGCCTGGTTTTAGGAACACACAGGGAAATGCCCATTTAAAGAATGATGTTGAGTCTACTTTTGACACTGACTTAGCATGTTCAAGCTGCTATAACAAAATATCTTAGACTGGGTAATTTATAAACAATAAAAATTTATTGTTCACAGTTCTGCAAGCCAGGAAGTCCAAGCAAGGTGCCAGCAGATTTGGTGTCTGGTGAGGTTCCATTCCTCATGGATGGTGCCTTCTGTGTATCATCACAGGGTGGAAGAGGCAAATAGATTACCTGAAGCCTCTTTTATAAGGGCACTACATGAGTCGTCATAACCTAATCACCTCCCAAAGGCCCCACCTCTTAATCCTGTAGCATTGGAGATTAGGGTTCAACATATTAATTTGGGGGGACACAAACATTTAGACCATAGCAGACATCTATCCTAGATTCAGATTTTGGGCAGAATTGAGGGACTTGACTATTAAACTTGGAGCCTAGGACCGACTTGACGGCTTTTACTGCAGATCTAGGGTTAAGCTGGAAGTCCATGGGCTCACCCCCTCCTCCTGGGGTATACTCCTTCCATACAGGAACTGCAATTCAGCAGGAATCATTTCACCTTTTATTTAATCTAACGCTATACCAGGCCCTGTGGTAGGCACAGGAGATACCAAGTTGAAAGACATATTCTAGAGCTTTATGGAGCCAGCTCATTCTGGAGACCAAGTCAGCAGCCACCAGATTGATTCTGACAAGACTACAGAGATAGACTTTTAGAACGAGAAAGGATCTCAGAAGTTACCAGTCCATAACAAAGTTTTCTCTGACAAATTCTGAAATTGAAAAATATGGACAATGTATTAAGTTTTCACAAAAATAAGAACCCTGGTTCCCTGACTCCTACTCCTATCCTGTTTCTACTGCATACCTACTGAATAGCCTGCTTTACGCACTGGGATATAAATTTTTAAAAATTTAAATTTTTTTTGAGACAGAGTCTTGCTCTGTTGCCAGGCTGGAGTGCAATGATGCAATCTCGGCTCGCAACCTCCGCGTCTCGGTTTCAAGCGATTCTCCTGCCTCAGCCTCCCAAGGAGCTGGGACTACAGGCTTGCACCACCATGCCCCGCTAATTGTTGTATTTTTAGTAGAGACGGGGTTACACCATGTGGGCCAGGATGGTCTTTATCTCTTGACCTCATGATCAGCTCACCTCAGCCTCCCAAAGTGCTGGGATTACAGGAGTGAACCACTGCACTCAGCCAATAATAACAAATTTTAAAAGAAATTAAAGTGAAGGCTGGACAAAAACATTAGAACAGGTTCTAATAGTCCATCTATGTTGTTAGCCAGGAGGAAAAGGATTCTGCCTGCCTAATTAATCATATAACTAAATAGCTTACTTTACTTCTGAGCTGAAAGCAAGGAATGGAGCCTGAAGGAATGTAGCTACAATTTATAGTTAAATTTTGATTGAGGTATAACCTAGGAAAGATCAGTTTAACTTAGTTGGGCAAACCTACATTTGATGCAGATGTTTGTAGCTCTACACAGCTGGTTCACTGACTTTCAGCCTGAGGAATATTTCTGAGAAACAGCAGAGAGAGGGTGGTCCTTCAGAGGGATTATAAGAGAATCACCTTCATTCATGTAACCTGTGGAGGGTGCGCTAGACTTAATTCCAGAAGGCCCAGCTCTGATGCAAATTTCAATTGAAGGATTAAAACACCTTTCAAATCTATATATTCTGGAATTGTACATGCAAAACTCTGCCTTTTAAATATTTAAGACAAACTACCGTCTTTAAGAGGTAGGCAGGCAGATAGTATTCCTGTTCAACTCCTTGTATTATTTCCACTGAAGTAGTTAAGCAGTTCTCTATTGTATAAGACCCTTTAGATAAGTACACGTTTTGAAGTCAGTGTAGAAGGGCCTATTGACTTTAACAACAACAAAAAAAGAGAGTAAGAAAAATGTGCCCACTCCCAAGTCATTAACAGAGCTGAAAAGAATATGCTAACAAAAAGAAGACACTGTAGTCTGAATCCTGTACTGTAAGGAAGGTCATGTCACCCACAGCATCAGGAGAGAGACACAAAGCCTTGAACTCAGGCCCAAGCATGCTGGGCTGGCTCAACACGCCCACGCATTCATCATCAGGCACGAAGACTGGGAGGAGAAATTCAGTACTAAATCACAGAGCTCTAGTGTCAGCACATCACAGAAAGCAATCTTATTAGATTTAATTAGATGTATGTGGCTCCAATGGCTCCCCATTTCTTTCTAAGTAAAAGCCAAAGTCCTTACAAAAGCCAGCAAGGCCATACGTGATCTCCTTCCCCTGCACCACACACCTCCATCCCCAACACACACACACACACACACACACACACACACGCAGAGTGTCTGTTGCCCCTTTGACCTTGTCTTCTACACACCTCCCCAACTTACTCAACCTGCCTCCTGGCTGCTGCAAGATCTTGGCATTTCTCCCCAGATATCTTTGTGACTCATTCCATCAGATCATTCAAGTCTTTGCTGAGATGTTACCTTCTGGATAAGGCCTTCTCTATCAGTCAGGATCCCAGCAAGAAACAGATGGTACAATCAAATTAGGAAAAATTGAAGAGTTTAATAAAAGCCTATAAACAGAGGTATGAGCAGGGATTAAAAAGATCACAAGGGAGACTCAGTAACATTGGGTGCCCCAAATCACCCCTGAGCTGAAAGCAGAAAGGAGAGAGAGTAGTTACAAAACACAAAGAAGCTATGTTTGGGGCATTTGGTCAAGTAACACAGCCAGTCCACAGTGACACTACAGGGAGGGGGTTCAGGGAATTAATATCGTCATTTCCCTCATTCTCCTCTCTCTTGATCTCCTGAAGCAAGGGGAGCCTGTGCTGCAGTTCATATAATTCAGCCTCCTGCAGCACTGTGAAGGGGCAAAAAGTGAATATC